ATTTTCTATCTAAGATGATGATTTTGAGGATCCTTGTGATGTTTATGTGGCTTGTATTGTTCTTCAGAAGCAGATTGAATATATCAATGGAAAAAAAGAGAATCTGATCATTCCAAGTACAGCAATGAACGAGATTCGTATGAAAGAACAAGCAGGTAAATGAAATGATATTTAAACGAGATAATTAGTTAATTCTAGTATTATTGTAGAGATTCTTGCTCGTGAACAAATTACTGATACATCATCATTAACAAATTCTTCTAGTAGTACGGATGTTGTTATGACAACATCATCCGAATCTATTGCTAGTGAGAGAAGCGTGCAACAACCGACAATAGCCGTAGAAGAGAAAAAAGATGTGAACACAGAGAAGAAGAATTTGCCTGCCAAAAATCATACAAATGATTCATCATCATCATCGAATGTTTGTGTTCTTTGCTTGGAAGAAGAGAAACGACTCGCATGTATCCCCTGTGGCCATCTTGCTACATGTGTACCTTGCGGTCATTCTCTTAGAACGTGTCCAATTTGCCGCACAAGTATAGATGCATTCGTACGCATATATTTATGAAAAGTTACTTACTCATACTAACTGCGAAACTTTTTTCTAAATTCTCATACATAACCAAGACATAAATTTAATCAAATAATAAAAGTTTTTAAAAAAGCAAAAAGAAATTTAGCAATAAGTATACTAGCTGATCAATAAGTACACTCAATGAACAATAATTAATTTAAATTTAAGATCAGTTTTATATACAAATTATGTAAGCGAATGAATAAGATATTCATTTGTTATATCTATTACATGTGCGAAATATGGTCTTTTTTCTACGCTCTATTATTCGTCTTCTTTCCTTTTCTCACTTATATGAATACTCTCATATTTCTGTCGAAACAACACATATTAACACCATCAATATAACTGTAATACAAAGGATAATACTGATTCATTAGGTTTCAAAAATATGTGATTTTTCAATTTTATACAATAAAATATAAGGGTGTGGGTTCCTTTTATGACCACAACCACACACTTCTACTCGCCAAATAATTATCTCCCAGCAATAACTGCTTTTTAAAACGTTTACTTGTCAATGACACTCATACGCTCGAAATAGCTTCCTTTTACTACAATTAAACACAAACCATGGAGTAGATTGAATATCATCATGATGTTAATGAGAGTACGGATATTAATACGTCTGGACATAGATATAAATATATATGAACAAGATGGATTTGTTAGTAATAGAATCGCATCGAGAAGTCAATATTTATCATGCAATAATGATATTTGTTCTTCAAATGTATTTCAAAACTCGACCAAAGTTCAGAGTATTGAAAATAAATTCTGATGAAAGAAAAACATATTAGGAACATGATTCACTTCTAATAAAATCTCAGAATTGAAAAATGAGACGTTAAAACAAAAAGCCACAGGACCAATCGTCATGAACAATGCATGAATATATAACAGTTCTATACACTCATCTTTGCTTTCACCCTTGTCCATACTGTAACCTTAAGATGCAACATTCTATTCATAAGACCAATTTTGGGCACTGTTTTGTCCGTAACAACTTGTCTTTTGACGATGTATCTAATCACTAAAAACTGAATATACTCATTGCATCTATATTTAACGTTATTTTCTTATACCATACATGATACATGCTCTTAAGAACTAGAGTAATCGAAATATTTTCATGTTATTATGTTGGAAAAAAACACATTTATCATAAGAGTGATAAGATATTGATAAAGATAACATTGTATGAAAATAATGATAAGACAAAAAAAACCGCTATGTTTGTAATAACAAAATAAAAAATTTATGAAGCGACAAATGTCTTTTGTAACACTATTATTTTGTTATATGAATAACATATCAATGAAGAAGAATGTAATAATATTGAAATATTTTACCATGCATATTATTTCGTTATTAACAAACTGATTCAAAAGAAACTACTTCCTGAAATTTTTGTATATTTGGAGTCGATACTTTACATACTTTCTTAGTAAGAAAGGAAGTAATAAAATAATGATGTCAGAATAATATTTTACGTTTTTAACATTTTTGTAGCAATTATTTTACAGAAAAACAATGTGTCCATATTGTCATGTTTGCCGAAACCGATAAACATGCTTCTCTGACTCACCAGAACATATTTTTTTTGTTTCATTTTCTTTCTTGTCTGTTCTTATATGCTACATGTCGTAAATTTCAAATGTTGACTTTTTGTGGTGACTATAGACCAAAAAATACCTTAATGGGAAATTATTATATGGGAAAAATCACGCTGTTTCGTCACGAGAAAAGGAAAAAACAATCTATTCTTGGTATTTTTCTAGATAAAAAATGTGTATTTTCCTTTCTATACAACTATATTGTTTATAAATGTCTGGTTACATTCAAATTTTACTAACAGTAGTTTCACTATTTCGATCGTAAGTTAGATTTCTATATAGATAATTGTACAACACCTAAGGATACAAAAATATTTTTTTTGTTAGTATGCACTACTGAATTTGTTTCTTTTTTTTTCTTCTGCAATTTACTATTCTTTCTCCTTTTGAATATATATTTACTATCTTAATTTTTTGAATATTCTCTATTTACTGAGCTACTACTATTCTTTATAGAAGTTGTTATTTTTTCGGTAAGAGAGTATACATTTTCGTTTACCTCTTTAAAGTACAATAGCGAACATATAGAATATTCGTTCGCTATTCCTTCGCATATATGATCATATGGAATTTTCCTTTTTTTCTTCATATATGATCATATACGATTTTTCCCTTTCGTTATTTTAATGCGCTCTTCTTCTGTTCTTTTGACTTATATTGAAATGTGTTATTTCCAGGTGGTGAACAAAAAGATATTACTTCGGTATTTTCCCTACAATATGTTGTATTTCAAGCGATGGGAATAATCCATGTAACCATTTCTTGTCCTATAAATACTTGAGTTTTCTTCCTAAATAAATGAACTGTTTCAAAGCTGCTAAACTATCATCTTCTTCTACAATTTTCGATAAGACACACTATATCTATATATTTTTTTGAACTATTTACATTCTAGATATTATTAATTTAGTCTATTATATATCAATTATTCATTTTTACGTCAATATAATGGAATCATTAACAACTACTGATCAATATTCGTCCAATATGGTACAATCAACAACAATGAAATGTTGTAAGCAACATCAATCAATAAACAAAAATGATACATATCGTAATCTACTCGACAAATGTCAACAATTAACAAAGAAACATGGTGTACATTCTGCTCTTACTATGAGAGCAGCAGGATTTCATTATACGGGTGATAATGATACTGTTCTTTGTGAAACTTGTGGTTTACAAGTATCTCAATGGACATTGGATATGAAACCATTTACTATTCATTCACAACGAAGTCCAACGTGTCCATATGTTTGTTCTCTTCGACCAATTCAAGCAGCTACTATAACATCTATGAACAGTTCTGCTCAATCAGTTTCAACATCGAAATGTGAAGAAATGCCATGTAAACGGCAGAAAATAGAACAAACTCAAGAAAATAACCCTGCAAAAGTATTTGTCGAACTAGAGATATTGAAGCAAATACGTCGTCGAACATTTTCGCATTGGCCCCATCACACATCACATTTAAAATCACAATTGATCGAAGCAGGATTTTTTAGTTGTAATGTAAATGATCGCGTCATATGCATATACTGTAATAAAATTTGCCAAAAGTGGACACTAGACAGTGATAATCCAAGTGAAGTACACAAAACACTTTCACCTCAATGTCCATATGTCATTTCAATGTTAACACGCTCCGAAGCATCATCAATTCCTATTATTAATGACAAATCAACAAACAATAACTCTGATGATAAGAATTTAATTCAATTTGATCAGATTGTTAATACTTCTGCATGTCATAGTTCATATAGAGAGATAACAAAAAGACATGCATCATTCAATACATGGACAAACGAAAATACACCATCAGTGGATGATCTAGTTAATGCAGGATTCTTTTATACAGGCACAAAAACAGTCGTAACATGTTTCTATTGTAATGGATCATTGCAGAATTGGGGTGCAAAGGATAATCCAATGATTGAACATGCTCGATGGTTTCCACATTGTGCATATGTCAAACAGCTATGTGGTGCAAAATTATATGGAAAAATCCAAGCAATAAAACAACGTCAAAAAGGTATGATAAAGCATATGATACATATTTCGTAATATAATTCATTCTATTATATTTTAGAAAATAAGGAGAAAAATGATTTAGATAAACGGTTTGAAACAACAATTGGTGGTTCATATAGTGGACAGTTAAATATACCTAATGACAGTATATTATCGAGTTTAGTAGCCTCTCGACTTGATTTACCAAGTTCAAGAAGTATGTTTGATCAAAATTTCAAATTATCAATCGTCAAACGATGTTGGGAAGATCAACTTCGATTAAAACGTAAGTTAAAAAAAACACATCTTTTTTCTATAGCAAACATATAAACTATTTTTCAATATTTAATTAGGTGACGATTTTGTTAGTGATGCCGATCTATTTGTGGCTTGTACAATTCTACAGAAACAAATGCAACATATTGATGGAAAAAAAGAAAATATTATTATTCCAAGTATAGCAATGAGCGAAATTAATAGAGTTGTTCTTCATGAAAAAAAAACGTCAGAATCAATACAAACAGATACATCAAATATTACCGGTACTGATATGTTAACATCAATAGAATCGAACGCTTCGGAAACAATTGCAAAAGTATCAGTCATAGATACTGATAAAGAGAAAGATGTAGAATCAGATAGTGCGCGAAATCTATCAACAAAAGAAAAAGATATTTCATCGTCATTGAGTCCTTGTGCTTTATGTTTGACAGAAGATAGATGTCTTGCTTGTATACCTTGCGGACATGTAGCCACATGCGTTCCTTGTGGTCATTCTCTAAAATCATGTCCGATGTGCCGTGCTGAAATTAAAGCTTTCGTACGAGTATATTTGTAAAATTATAAATAAACTTCTTTTTTTTTTTAAAAACAAACGTTTTATTGATAGTAACTTTTAATAGATCATCAGTGCATCTTCATATAAATTATTAATTCACGAAAATTGTAGAACTAAAGTCTTTCTCTTTTAATACAAATATTAAAGTAAATTTTCATCTAAGCTAGTGGTTAACTAACATACTTATACTATGTTCGTAGTTAATGTGCAGTGAGAGAAATTTCAAATATGTAGACATATTTGGTTATTTCCTGTACCTCACATACATCACATCAATATTCACGTTCAAAAACAAGCAATTTTAATGGACTGTGTAGAAAACTAATTATCGTAAAATATGAAAACAATTTACAATAGTTATCAATACATCAATTTTGTTTAGATACCTATCAGTTTTTTTCTACTGTTTCACTACAATTTCAATAGAAAACAATCACAAGTTGTAAAAATGACGAAAGGATAAATGATAGCATAGACACTCTTATCCTCGAGGTTTGTACGTCTTTTTATATACAAATCTTATGATTAACAGAAATATAAAGTAGAAAATTCATATTACGATTGTATTTTAATAAACTATTCACATGATTAATGTCATAATAGATCTTCAGACGTGCCACATACTATTAATCCAATTGAAATGGATTTTTACTACTATAAATAATATCCGTTTCAATAATTGAGTCGGACTTGAAATATACTTTTAACATAATCACTAGGGCTTAAAAGCATTATTCTTCTAATCTTAATGTGTCTATTCATTTTATTCTATTTATAAATTAAATTCTCTATTACTTCTGATACAATGGATGTAAATTCTTCCGAGTTTATATAAATTCTACTGAATCAACTTTTTTATCATATATATTTCTAAATCACAGGATCTCATTAAAAACAAAACAATATTGATGTATATATATATATAGTGCAAAACTGTTAATTATTCATAGAAAAAAAAAAGAAAAGAAGACGAGAGAAAAAAATTTTTTTTATAAGCATAGCACCTCTATGTATTATTTTAAAACATATAAAAAAACAGAAGATAAACGTTACAATAATGTAAGATTATTTGTTAAATTTGTAGTATTACTCGTATCTATCAATGTTGGTAAATTATGTGTAAATACATCAGTTTTAGGAAACATAGCAACAAGAGAAATACCAAACCAGAAACAATAAATAAAGAAAAATGTTCGATCAAGTACAAGTGCAACCTGTTTCCAATCAGCAGCATTTTTATTTGCTTCATCAGTACTTTCAACTTTTTTTTTCATATGTCTTAAATAATCTCGAACTTCTTTTAAATCATTTTCAATTGAACGTAAATTAACATTAAGTGCTGACATTGTTTCATTCGTAATATTAGCTTCACGAATTAAACCTTGTTTTTTTTGTTGTCGATGATATTCATGAAAACGTTGTTTAAGTAATTTAAGTTTTTTAGAAAATTCTTCTTCATGATAATGTGGTGTTAAAAAAATTTGTTCAGGTAATAAAAGAGCACCGGGTGATGGTGGACCATGACGAGATGAAACATTATTAGATAATGATGGAGGTACTTTTGGAGCCATACAATATAAACGAGCAAGATAGTGAAGAAAAATTTTACGTAAATATGGAGGTATTCCTTGACGTCGATCACCACGAACATAAATATGTATGACTATAGTAGCAAGGACGGCTGTTACTGAAACGACAACCATATTAAGACAATAATAATAACCAATTTTAGGAGTACCACCGCCACCTAAAATATATATATATATATGTATGTTAAATGATTTCATTATTTCTATTCATACCCGGTATAGATTCAGCCAACAGAAGTAATAAAAGAAAAAGACCAGAAAAAATTGATACAGTTAAAATCATTTTCGAAGGTGATTCAGGTGGTATCCAAAATACAACCATTGTTGCTGCAGATAAAAGTAAACAAGGTAATATTAAAATATAACCATAGAGACCACCTTTTCGTTGAATAATCATTGAATATGTTAATAATGAAAATGTATCATTTGTTACTGTTTTTTCTGCTTCAAGTGGATCGATTTTCCATTCATTTGAAACTATATATGCTGTCATATCCATACTAGGTCTACCATCTTTAAATTCAAGTTCAACTTTACTACGATCATATGTCCATGAACGATATACTAATGAACATTGATGGAAATCGAAAGGAAAATTTGTTATATCAAGAAAACAAATACTAAATTGCATTGTTGCTGGTACGTATAATACTTCTCCGGTATGTTGTATAACAGCTGAAATTTCACGCCAATCTTTTAAACGTTCATCAGCATAATTATAAAGAACAACATCCTAAATGAAAGACAAAATTTATCTTTTTGCGCTAATAGAAATTAATTCTATTATACCGGTGTCCAGATCGAATCAGCTGGTAAGCATACGGTTGCTAATCCACCATACTCTTTTGGATCCCAAACTAAACTCATATCGAACCAAGTAAATGTTTTCCATGTATTTGTTTGCATTTTTTGACCAGTTGAACCAAGATCAAATAATTGTGTAAATGTTAAACCAAAAGTTATAGTTAATGCTTGAGATACATTTCGTATTGGACGTGCATAAATTGTTGGATAATTATGAAGTAAATCACGTATAAGACGTTTTTCATATGTTAATCGTCTAGGTACCTTACCATTAGTTGTTAAAGTCGAATTAATTACTGATGATGAATTAGAAGATTCTAACGGAATATCTCGACGATTGTTTGTATGTTGCTGATCTTCATCATTAATAGTATTTACACCAAAAAGATCTATATAATCAATAGATAAAACAAAAATGTATTGAGAAGTAACAACAGATTTGTATCTAGATGAAACCATCATAAGAAAAAAGAGATTGCAAAAATACATATATATATGAATAATGGATCTATGCTGTTTGTTATTAATTAACCTTAGCTTCTCTATCATCATTAGTCAATTCCGTTTGAGAACTGTATTCAACGCTTCATTATGAATGTTACAAACATGCTCTCATCATTAGTGAGATGATAAACATGAAAAGAGTAACGATGCAAAAATACGAGTGTAGAGATGCTTCTGTCATCACAGATATATAGTGAACTATTGAGTGCACTTTTCTAAAGAATGATTATAGATAGAATCATTTAGGAAAAGTTCAGCTGATTTGATAAGATAGATGAGAGATGATTCAAATAAGCATCTTTCCTCTTGACATTTTCTTTTTTTCCAACAAGCCGAACTCAATTTGAATAATTATAATTCATCATGCTTTATATGATGGATTTAACCTATTTTTATATTTCAGGACATTCTTTTTTTCATGTAACTAAATATTTATTCTTAGTTTAAATCATTCCTCTCAATAAGAAACATCAAAAAAAAATTTTTATCTAAGATATACCTTGATTGTTTTTTTACACTAGAAAAACCTTTTACACAATCAATTTTCTTAATTTAGTAAAGTTGTATATTAAGAATGCACCACAGATTATGACTGACAAGTATTTTTATATTATTACATCCATTGAGTTAAAAGCATTTTTATTTTCATTAGTGTAATCACTGTCGTAAAAATCTATATTGAACATACAATCTAATGTAAATAAACGTAAACTGATAGGGAAAAAAAAGTAATGTTATATATATATATATATATGATTGAACTATTCATTATTTATAATTATAAATAAAAGATTTTCTATCAATCTTTCAAAAATTTACTCATGTGAAAAAAAAAATCTATGTTTATATATATAATTCATTTCATTATTTATGTACGATATGATTATTTTTAGAAGCAATTTTTTTTTTTGAAAAAAAAAGGAAGAAGAAAATCATGTTCTAAAAATAAATATTTAAAATTAAGTTTTTTACCTTGAGAATTTTTATCAAGAATTTTTGATGATGATTGATCTTTTTGTTGTTGTTGAATTTGTGATGATTGTGAAAAAACAATTGTTATATTGAGCATAACAAAAAATATTGTTATACTAACAAGACGTAATAATGTAGCGAAATAACATGATCTTACTGAATGATATTTAATATTCTTTGGATAATATTGTTCATCATCATCATAACTAATCGATTTTTCATGTGCTAAATAGCGACAATAGTAACACATATTATTCTTACGACCTTCTTTTTTAAATATGGTCGTTTTTGTCGCCTTTCATCCAAGGAATTTATCTAAACATAGACATAGAATAAGAAGAAGAAAAAAAAGCTGATGTGTATATAGATCCTATCAAAGAATCATTATAAGTAAATGTAATTACTAAAAGAAATAGAAAGAATAAAAATGAAAGAATTTCTCCCCTTTTTCTTCTTTCCCTTTCTCTCTCTGTCTCTCTCCTGCACGCTCTCTTTCCTTAACTATTCAAATCATGGCACCTGATGCAATATAGTAACTCGCTATTTATCTCTATACTTTGCATATATATCGACATGAAGGCCAAGAGAAAGTAGTTTTGACATTCATCTGTTGATGGATTCTATGCCGATGGGCAAATTTTGTTTTCCCCATTTTCTTTCCTTATGTACTCATACCATCGTAACTGTCATTACTGATAGATCTAGTAAATACACTGCCAACAGAATAGATAGAGAGCGAGAGAGAGAGAGAGAGAGATAGTTGCATATGTGTGTGATTAGAGTTATCTCATAGTCAAGCAAACATAAATCGAGAAAGTGCATATGCTTTTGTGTATACTGAATTAATCTAAACAAGAAATTGTAGACATTTATAAAAGAATAATACTTGACAAGTTGACACAATTAAATTTTCTTTCTTTTTTTTTTCTCCTTCTATAGTTATAGTGATGATTAGAATGAGAGTCTTCACCCTTCTACTCATTTCCGCACAGTCTTCCTACTTGACGTCATTTACAATTGCTCGAGAACTATGTGACTATATATGTATGAATTGACTTTTACATTATTCATCAGTAAGGCACAAAAAAAATGGCGATAAATAGAATTCATTCAATATACACTAAAGAAACAACAAAAAAAAACGTAGATTTTGTCTTATTACAAAATATAATCTACAGGAAGTTGATAGCAAAACTTTCATTATCTTCTTATCTCCTCTAAAATAATAGAAAAAATTTGACTCCATTTTCTTTTCTTTCTTTCTTTTCTTTTATCTCTATCTCCATATGTGTATTTAGATTAATATGTTGTCATATTTAATAGTATATCTAGGTATAAAACTATGTTTAGAAAACGACTTTGTTGTGTACTTATGTCGTTCTAATCGTTTACATATGTGTAAAACGAAGAGTAAATTTCATCATCATGTTAAAGAATATTCGATGCATACATGCATGCGTTTTGTCAAATCAATTATAAATGGTTTTTTATCGTCATGTGCACATCAGGATTACTAACCAGATCTATCCGACCACATACACACACACACACATATCTTATATGGTTAATAGTGATGCGAGTGACAAGAGAACACTAATCAGAATTCTCTAGAGATATTCAGTCAATATGTTTGATCGATTTAATAAAAAAGCATAAGAAAACCGATTAAGAATGTAAAGATAATCTAACAACTGTTCAAATGTATAATATGAAAATATTAAACACAAAATAATAGTCTATAAAAGTTACTATAAATCATTATTATTATCTAGCAATTAATAAATAAATAATTGCTACCATACAATTCTCACCTGGTAATCGAGATAAGAAGAGAATAGAAACATGTAGTTATAGTCATCGAAGTGTGCGCTATAGATTTTTATATTTCTTTTCTTTGTGTACTCAAGAAACAAAGGCCAGCAAGTATAGCACAGAAATCGGTCGCATTTCCTTCTTATTTGTATGTTCTTTTTTTTTTTCTTCTTCTACTTCTTTTCCTCCTGATGTTCTTCGTCTTCAACATCATCATCATCATCTTCTCCTTCTTCTCTTTTCCCTATTCTACTATACTAGATCTTTGTGCTCCTTCTGCCACAACTACCACTCCTATCACCATCACTACTACTACGACTACTATCACCACAACTACCACCACCAACATCATCACTTCTACCATTCATTCATTCACTCACTAGTGTGTATTCTTCTTTGCCTTAAGCAATCGAGCAACGAACAGAAATAATAAATAAAATAGTCTAACTCACTTTTCTTGTTCTTCTTTCTTCTTCATATCTTGAGCATTTTATGTTCTTCTTTCTCTTCTCTATTACTCTTACTCTATTTTCTGTACTAAAGTTCGCTTTAGTAAATCAATTATAAAATTAAATTATTTTCGACAAAAAAGAAATTTGGAAAACTTAGAAAAAGAAAAGAAAGAATGTTGTACGACACAATTGACAATCGTTTTAAGAGGATAGACTTTTTAACTGATCATATTACATGCATCGCATCTATCAGCAGGGATGGGAATAAAATTTAAGTGGAAATGGATGAGTATGACATATATTTGTATAGAAATCAAACAAGAACAAAAAAGTTTGCCTGTATACATTATATCTTATTCTCAAATGACTATATATAATAAATAATCAAAAGAAATTATAACCATTTGAATGTTATCGGAAAATAATCAATAATATATATATATATTATATATAAACATGATTTATAAGCGTCGTTATTTTTTTTCATTAATACCAATATAACAATGTTCTTCTAATGAGAAGAAAATGAAGGAAAATTTGAAGTATAAAAATAGTAACAATAATAAAATAACAATTCATTTGCCAATATTTCCTTGGTAAAATTACACAGAGCGAGAAAAAGAGAAATGTTATATAGCAATCAAAATACGAGTCTCGATACAATTGTATACTTGGTTCGACCGTCCGTACTTTCCGTTCAAGAATACTTGACAAATGTATCATGATTCAATAACTGTAGTAATCGAAAATGCTTCTTTCATCGTTGTTATCATCGTTCTTCCTTTTGTCCTTCACTAGTGCTGCTACTACTAGCATTCATATTAAAGCAACAACTATCTGTCTGTCTGTCTATCTATCTATATGTGCATGATCAAGCAGCTAACGGCCAACTATCAAACTCGATTTGTTGCACACACGATGATACACGCTGATTAGAGAGACATGCAACGAAAATACAAACCGTGTGTTGATTATACGAGTCATTTAGGAATAAAACAAAATATATATATTGTTAATTCAATTAAATTGAGACGCCTGATTGATTGAAATAATTGAGCAAATATATTCATGAGAACTGCCTACGATTAAGCGAACAATTATTTCTCAGTTTAAAACTATTCTATTCTCAGTCGTAATATAAATATATCTATAAAAATTATCAATTCAAAAACAAAATATAAGAAAAATTATTCTAAATAGAATTATGAAACTGAAAGTACGATACATTGCGACATCTTATTCTGACATATTCTGAAGGCAATTGCTAATGACATTGTAGAGAACAAGATATGGCATATATTATTGAATATCATATTAAATTAAATTATAGAAAAAAGAAGATCAATTGATAATGGCTACTGTCAATGAGAGTAGTTCTTCACAAATGGAACGTCTTACGACATGTCCGATTTGTTTGGATAAATTTCGTACACCAAAAGTTTTACCATGTATGCATACATTTTGTTTAACACCTTGTTTAACAAATCTTGTTGATCCACGAGCACGTTCATTACGTTGTCCTGAATGCCGTCGAGAAAATCCTATACCAGCAAATGGTGTTCAAGGATATCCTTCGAATTTAACTATGATTGGATTTCTTGATCTTCAACCATCAACTTCAAGTCAACCTGATCGTTGTTTTGTATGTAAAGAACAAAAACAAGGTATGTAATATATAAAACCTAAATCTTGAATTTTTATTACTATATTTACATATATATTAAGCTATTGTTAAATGTCATGATTGCTCAAAATATATTTGTTCTGATTGTCGTGAAGCACATTTACGTGAAGCATGTTATAACATAAGTTCACTTGTTAGTCAACTTCGTCGTACATTACCAAAATTAAGTGATAAAATAGCTTCCTATGAACAACGAGTGAATACTGTTAAAACTAGTCATGAACAAATTCAACGAGAAATTGCATCAGCTATAGCAACATTAATTGAAGAATTAAAACATCGTGAAACAGTATTATTTACTGAAGCTGAAGTTTATATGCAATCACAATTGAGGTATTCCGGGGGAAAAAATAAAAATTATGTATGTTGTTTTTTTCTTCTTCTCCTCTATTTAGGATGTTTCGTTTACAACAAGAGAATGCCGAAATTGAATTAGCAAGTGTCGTAAGTTTTTGTGAATCAGTTGGAACATCTCTTTCAAATGAACAAACAATCAATGATGTTGATTTAGCAAATATGCGTTCACAATGTAATCGTTATTCCGAACAAATAAATACATTAGAAACTCAAATGCCAACTGATGTTCAAAAGGTGAGCAGGTAAAGATTTGAGAACTATATAAAATTTTGAATATATCTATCTTTAATGAACAATATTATCCAGTTACGATTTACATTTGAAAATCAATCAGCAATATCAGCATCTATACAAGATATTGGTCGTTTAATTGATATCAATGCACAGAATGCAAGAAATCAACCAAGATCACCTTCAAGTGGAAATTCCCATCCTCCTGCACATTATGTAACAACAACATCACATTCCATGTATGGTCAAGAACAATCACAACAATCACAACAGGATCAATGTAAATTTGTTTTAATCAATAATAATAAGATATTTATTCTAATATATAATTTTAGTTCGACATTTAGAAAATTTGTACTATTCTCGTATTCCACCAACATCACGAGCGCATTTACCAAGTCAAACACATTCTTATCGTCCACCACAAAATCATTTTTCCGGAAGTTTTGATAATCCATTTGTTGATCTTAATTTAACAGTACCAGCTCGTACTTCAACATCATCTTATGTAGCATCATGGCATCCACAAGCAAATCGTCGTGGTTCATCTATATTTGGAAATAATCCATTTGTAGCTACTCATTCTCGACCTCCAGCACCACCACCAGCAGTATCTGAATCACCATCACGTCGAAATCATGTAACGAGTACGACTACAGGTCGAACACTTGAAGGTGATGATCGTCCAATTCTTGGTGGTGCTGGTAGAGGTCGAGGTAGAGAACGAGCTGCTGCTCCTGTACCTATTCAAGAACAAGAACCACAACCACCATCAACAGTTGATCGACCACGACGTAACACATTTGTATTAGATGAAGCCAGTTTACCTAATCTACCACAATCGGGTGCTCAAAGACCTCGTGATCCTGTGAATGTCCAAGAATTATATAATGTCAGAGCAAGAGATCGTGCTCAAACACCTGTTGCTTTTACTATAAATATGAATGAAGCATCACAACCATCCGGTGATGATACTTAAATATTCCTGCTGATTATACAGATCATATTCTCAATATTATCTATTGTTATTTTATTTTTCACTACTATCTGTAATCTATATATTTATATTAAATGTTTAACATAATACACAATATCAAAAAAAAGAAAGAATAACGTTAACTATGTTGTGTCATTAAAGAAAGTCGTTGTTGATAATCGACTAAATCTTGTGTTTTAATTTTATTGATCTAAACAAAATAAAAAATTTTCTCAAATTCATATAAATAGAAATTAAATTTACATACAATATTTTCATATTCTTTTAATTTATTATTTAATTCTATAAGACGTTGTTTTAATTTAATATGTGTATCATTATGTTGTAATAATTGTGTATCAGTTTGTTCAAGACGTTCATAAGCATTTGATAATTTCATACGTAATTCTTGATTTTCAATAGTCATTTCTTGAACAATTTCATGTTTTTGTTCAAGTATTGTTTCAATTTCATTTGTTAATTGTCGAGAATGTAAACGTAATTTATTTAATATAGAATTTTGATTACAAACAAGATCTTCTAAATACGATAATGATTGATGACGTTCTATATCAAGTTTTTCAATATTTGTATGATAATCTTGTTCACGTTTATTTAATATAACAGTTATTGCATCGATATTTTCTTCACGTGATCGTTCAAGAGTTTGTTTTACATTTTTTAGCATTAAATTCTAAATACAATAAAAATCTTTAGATTTTATTCTTTTCAAAACAAAAGAAATTACTTCTCGAGTTAAACGATTTATATCTTCTGTTAATTCAAGACAATGTTTTTTTGAATTAAGTAAATCACCTTCAATATCATGCAAACGATTTTGAGTAGAACCAAGTTGATGACGAAGTTGTAGTGTATCCTATTGAATAGAAAATTTACTTTTTTGTCCAAGAGTAAAATAAAATAACTTACTTGATTACTTTGCAATAATAATTTTTCAAAATCTGTTCGAATATGCATCGTATTCGTATTTGCTTGATCACGTTCACGCATTGCTTTTTGAATTTCAAGTTTAACAGAATCAGAAGTCTGGCTTAAATCGAGTTCTTGTCTGTGAATTCGATTTTTCCATGCATCTAAATCAGCTGCTAACGAAGTTTTTTCTCTAGCTAATCGATCAACTGTTAATTCATATTGTGTACATCGTTCTTCGGCTTGTCGCATCTTTTCAGCATTTTCTTTTAATTTTTCTTCACATAATTTTTCAATATTTTGTTTTTCAATATGAATCTTATCATTCATTTCATCAAGGAATTTTTTTAATCTTTTTTGTGTTTCAACAAGTTCGATTTTAATTTGATCACGTTCAACAATTGCTTCATTTTTTTCGAATTGATTTTGTTCAACAATTTGAATACATTCTTGTAATTTTGCTAATGTTCCTTCTTCTTTACGTTGACTTTCATCAAATTTACTTTGTAATTGTTGTAATTTTCGTTTATTAGCTTCATTTTCACTAGAAAAAAAAACTAAATCTTTATATTTATAAATTTGAATGAATTTACGTTATAATATCAGCAAATTTGTCATTATGTTCAGTTGTATGTTGATTAAATGGTAGGAGGGCTCCACATTTTAAACAATTCATCAGATCATTGGGTGCTTGCCAAACGGTTTCATATGTACTTAATTTTTCTCTAGAATTTCAATAGATTATATGTTTTTGTTATTTCAATAGATTTTTATACTTTGCATCTTTAAGTTCGATTTCAAGATGACGCATTTTTTTCGTATAAAGATCAGCAATTTGTGACTTAGAAAAGACAAATCTTTATATTTAATATATATAAATCTATAGAATAATTATACTTCTTTATCAGTCATTGATTGTCCATCATCCATATTAATTAAACGAAGCATATCAGAAACAAATGTACTACGAATTTCTTCGTGTAATCGATTATTTTCTTCGATTATAGTAACAACATTTGATCGAAGTTTGGTATTATCATCCTGTTTTGAAGAAAATTAACAAAAAAAAATCAATTCAATATTATTTTCTTAAATACATACACGAAAATGTACACGTTTCATTCTCACACACTTACACGTAATGTTTCATTTTCTTCTCTCAATCGATGACTTATCTCATCACCGGCTTGAACAAGTATATAGAGTTCATTTGATTTTGGTGTATCTTTTGATGCCTATGAAATAATAGGTAGATAGATAAGAGAGTGTTAATGATTTATTTATATACTTTTAATGAACTCGAATGATGTATTGGTGATGTAGGAGAATCATGACGGTCTAATTGTGATAAAAGATCACGAAGTTTATCGGCTGCCGTAAGTGATTTAACTAGATTTTTCAATATAAACATATAATAGAGATAAAATATGTTTATACATACTAGAACCGACCGATGCCATTTTTTAATGAGATAAAGAGAAAGATTAGCGATACATTTTCATAACTGTTCTTTTCTTATTAAAAGCCGCAAGAATGTCAATATAGATTGACATTATGCTTTTAATTCGAGCTGTTGTCTTGACAATCAAATGAACGAAAGAAATATCTAATTAAAAATTATTATGATTGATCTTAGTTTTCAAATTAAACCATCGGTTTAATAAAATTTATTTATATTAAAATATATTTTGAAGAGACCATAGATGTCGCTACAGCATAGGACAGGATTTCAATTGTAAACTGAATAGAAACGTATGTATCAACTTTAGATATTAATAAAAACAAATCAATATAAATTATTTTTCATATTTTATAATTATATCGATATATATATATCGATTTTGTTGCTATTCCGATTCTAAATGAGAATATGACATTTCTTTCTGTTCTACTACTAATGTCGACTCCGTGGCGCAACGGTAGCGCGTCTGACTCCAGATCAGAAGGTTGCGTGTTCAAGTCACGTCGGGGTCAATTTTTT